CATCTCCATCTAAAGTCCTTACCATGGCTTGTAAGGCACCATGTGAAATTGTCCTTGGCTACCTCTCTATGCTCATCATCCAGCACTCACCCTTCACCCAGTGCCTTCTAGCCACAACAACATCTCACTGTTGTCCTCACCACATTGAGCATGTTCCATCCTCAGGGCCTTTGGGCTCACTGTTCCCTGTTCCTGGAATATTCTCATCCCAGATGGCCAACAGGCTAGCTACCTCTCTTTCTTCTAATCTCTGCTCAAATGTTGCCCTACGTATGGGAAAAGCCTCTTTTGCCCCTCTATCTAATATGACCCATCATACTCTATCCTCTGATCCAATATGTTATTAATTAATTAATTAATATCACTTTGCCTTGCTAGAATACAAGCTCCTTGAAAGTAGGTATTTTTGTTTTTTTGATCACTGATAGGTGTCCTCAGCTCATAAAATAGTGTCTGGCATACAGTAGGAATTTAATATATGTATATTTGTTGTTGAATTTGATATATAATGAAAAATAAGTGCATCTGGTTAGGGAGTTTCTTCCCTGTGTTCTAGTCCCTTTTTCAGGCTTGCCCTTAAGTGCACAGCTTGATGGAGCCTCTTGCCTTTGCCCATATCAGTAACCCTGAAATACCACAGTCAAAGAATAGTACTTGGGGCTACTGAGAGCCATTTGCTGTTCTCTTCAAAATTTCCATCACAAAGCATAGTCAGAAGCCAGAGTTCAAGCTTGGATCCAATAGGGCATTGATAAGAGGATGCAGGTGTTGGCAGGTGTTATATCTGGTTAAAGGTGATATGATCTATTGCAAAAACAAAAGAACCATTTCCACAGCACCACAGAATAAGATATCCATAAGGAACTTTGCACAACATCTAATTCATCTCCCTTGCTTTGCAGGGACCAAGAAAGGGTGTGACCCCTTGGCGCACCAACAGCTAATTAGAAGCACATCCTGGAGTTGTAATCACAGATTTTTCTGGCTGCAGAGGACTCAGAGTCTATCCAGCTGTAAGGCTCCATTTTATAGATGAAGGATTGAGGCCCAATAAAGAGATGTAAATTGGTGGAACAAGAAATTGGGAGCCAATACCTTCAGGATAATTTTTGTAAATTGCCTCAATGTGTGAAATATAATAGGATACCTAGGGCTCCATTTTCATCTTAATGAGATGCTAAGATGTACCAAATATTTGTGGTTTTCTTACATGAGTATTTTGATTATCTTATCTTTATGAATTTAAATTAGAGCACAACAGCTGCCTGAAATCCCAGAGCAATTCTTTATTTTTAATGCAGCTGTTGTCAGTGAATTTCTGACCCACTGAGACATGAAAGGCAAGGCTCATAAACAAAGGTTTGGAGGATTTTAATAAGTCCTGAGTTTGGGTCCTGATAGTTGGGTTTTTCCCAGATCCTGAGTATATGCATAGATCTGGCAACCTCTCTTGCAAAGCACATTGAAAAAAAGGTCTACTTAAAAAGAGAGGACTAAATTAGATGATTTGGGGCCAAGACTTTTAATTCTGGAATGATGCAAGCACTACAACTACCTATTTACCTCAGTTTCTCAATGATTTCAGGTTTGTTCAAGGAAACTCTTCTTCACAGGCAATGACATTGAATCTAATATCAGATTTGGAATTCGAGGCCCAGCTGTGACTACTAATTTTTGTATGACCTCCAATACATCAGTAGTTCTCTGAGGCTCAGCTTTCTCACCTATATATTGTGGATAACAATGCCTATTTTAGCTCTCCAGAGTTTGCAGTAATTAAATGAGGTAATAATAATCTCTTTAAACTGGCTTGGGACGCCAGAGGCCCCGGTTCGGATCCCACATATGAGGGCCAGTGACACTGCCCTCTGCAGCTAAGATGCTGAACAACAGCTCAACCTGGAGCTGGGCTGCTGTGAGTCGCCGGCGACGGCGTAGGCTGCAGCCCCTGTGGCAGTGGGTTGCCATGGGCTGCCGTGTGTGGCCAGCAGCCAGAGTGTGTGGCCAGCAGCCAGCGTGAGCGGCCAGCAGCTGCAGTGAGCGGCCGTCCAGAAGCCGAGCAGCCGCAGTGAGCGGCCGTCCAGAAGCCGGCGACTGATGTGCCTCACCCGGGAAGAGCGCAATGATGGTGCCAACTTGGGCCAGTGAAGCAACGTCCTCCACAACTAGACTGAAGAACAAAAAAACAACAGCAACTTGTCTGTTCCCCTTCCCCCAATTCCCCAGCGCTGTTCCCATCCCCCAAAATCCCCAATAAAAAAAATCTTAAAAAAAAATAAAATAATAATAATCTCTTTAATTGGTTCAGTACCTTCCAATTTAGAGCATTTTTATCCACATTATTATGTACTTTCTACAAATGCTAAACTTCTTGGAGAAAAACTGCTGCTTTATTCCATGTGTTATTATCTAGTAGTGAGAGGAGATTTAATAACATTCTATTTATCTAGTATCCAGGCTTTCAGCACCTCAACTTTTAGGGACAGGGTCTGTTCATTGAAATAGCCACAAGAGCCTAGAACTGCAGCTACAAGAAAAATAACCAAGAAAAGCAAAAGATGTGGTGTTACTTAAGACACAATGTGGTCAGTGGATATGGGTATCAAGGGTTATGAAATTCAGATTCTGCTGGAAGTAAATTTGGCAAATGAGAGAAAGGAGGAAGAAAGACGAAGAAGAAAAAAAGGGAAATATGAGAGTAGAGGGCAGTGGGATCAATGGCGGATTGAAAGAGTTTAATGAGGCAAGAAAATGTATAATCCATATGAGAGATTTCCATCAAAAAAGATTAAAACAACAAGTGTTAAACCTTCATCTGTCTCAAAATTTTGCTTTTCAGACTCCTTGCTTTCCAAAGCACACTGGTACGTGTGGTTTCAGTGCCTCTATGTCCTGGGAAGCACTGAAGAAAGTAGTTCTAGCAGCTAGCTTGCTGCCTTGTCTCAAAATGCCATGTGTGTTGCAAGTGGTAAAATTTCATGCTTTTTTATGGCTGAGCAATACTCCATTGTATATATGTACCACAATTTTTTATCTAGTCATCTATCAATGGGCATTTCGGTTGCTTGGCTATTGTGAATTGCGCTGCAATAAACATAGGGGTGCATATATATTTTTTTAATTAGATTATGTAGGATGCCAGATGAGCACTGGGCTTATCAGAGAGACCATTTCATAGAATGTGCAGATGCCTGAATACTGTGCTGTACACCTGAAGATGAAGTTGCATAATATTGAATGTCAACTATAATTAAATACAGAGAGAGAGAGAGAGAGAGAGAGAGAGAGAGAGAGAGAGATGGGATGTGGAGTAGAGCATAGGGAATATAGTCAGTGTATTGTAACAGGTATATGTGATGTCAGAGGGGTAGTTAGAAGGGTAGATTGGGGGGTTATGACTTTGTAAGGGGTGTACATGTCTAACTATTACATTGCTTTGTACACCTGAAACTGATTTAGAAAAGAAGGCAATGTGTGTAGGATGGATTGTGTGCAGTTGTTCCTTTCCAAGTAAAGATTTGATGAATAGACAGAACAGACAGGGAAGTCTATTCTGAAATCCAAGTTGTCTGGTATATCAATATTTATTATTGGCACTGTCCCAGTTTACTGCTTTAGCTTTTGATCCCACATGTAACTTGGGTAAAAACCAAATTGTGTCTTTTCCCTTTTGCTCAAACATCTTTTCTTTGTCCAGCTCTTAAACACCTTTCATCTCTGAGACTAGACAGAGAGAACAGACATTGTAGATGAGGGCCAAAGCAGCCTCAGTGGACAAGACAAACATCTTCCAATCACTTCAGATTTCAGTGACCTATAAACCTTTGAATCCTTCTCTACATTCAGTGACAAAAATATGTCATAAAATATTTATCATGTGAGTTAGGAGCACTTGACTCCCAAATAGACACGCCTGGATGACTTTAATAAAAAACTCTTGGCACCACAGAGAGGCCTTTGATTCAGGGTCACAGAAAGAGGAAAATCTGATGTGAGATGCAGTCCTAATATACAATGAGAGCATTGTTTTAAAGAAAAAAAGCCTTATATTGCAACGTCTCGAGGCTTACTGGTATGTTTAGTTTTTTCTTCCAGGTACCAGGAATGTAGGACTGGGAGTCTGAAGGACTGATTTATTTCAAGCTTTACTGTGGCACTTTCTTCAAAGCTCCACAGGATTTAGAAACACTGATACCACACTATGGCTTGGGTACTCTAGACAGTATGCATGATGGTTAAAAGTAGAGTTTGAGAGTCAGATTCTGGGTTCAAAATCTGGCTCTTTGAAAAATCTTTAAAAAGTTAATTCATCTCTCTGTGCCAACAAAGACCTGTCTGATGTGTGTACCTCCTAATCTCTCTAACCTCACCTCCAACTACTCTTACTCTCACTCATGTACTCCAGCCCCAGTAATCTCCTGCTTGATCCTCAGAATCACTGGGCACCCTCCAAGCTTACGACCTTTACATTTGCTGTTTCCCTTGCCTAGAGTTATCTTCTCCCAGAGAGCTGTGAGGCTCATTTCCTCACTCTTCAGATCTTGACTGAAACATTTTACTTTCTGTGAGGCTCTCCTTAACCACCCATTTAAAAATCCAACCCACATTCTGCTCTATACCAGTACTCCCTAACTCCCTTCTTAATCTTTCTCCATACTGCCCATCATCATTTAAAATGATCTATGTTTTATTTAAGTACTTAAGGTCAGCATTTTCTGACTACAATGGAGGACCCATGGTGGCCGGGATTATCATCTGCTTTGTTTACTACTGTAACCTCAGCACTCAGAATGCCTGGCCCACAACAGATTCTCAATAAATATTTGTTGAATACGTTTGATCAATCAGTAAATAAATGAGACAGTTTTTGTTAGTTCTTGGTCACCAGGGTTTTCTGCCCAAATCCATTGTATCTACAACTTGAGATCTTTTAAGTTCTGGGATTGTAGCCAATGTGGGCTGGGAATGGTGAGGAAGTGACCATAAAGAGAAGCACTTACCCAGAGAGAATATTTCCCACAGCAGGACTCCAAATGACCACACATCACTTTGAGTAGTATAAACCTTGTCAAAAATGGCTTCAGGTGCCATCCACTTAAGTGGGAGTCTTGCCTAGAAAACCAAAATGGGAGAGTCATGAGAATAACAGCCATAACCCCAACAGAGGCCAAGAGCCTGGGCTTGGGGCTTTATGTCAGGAAAACTTGAACTTACATCTCCTTTCCAGACATAGTCAGGGTCTTTGTAGATGTCTCTGGCCAAACCAAAGTCACAGATCTTCACAATGTTATTATCAGCTAGAAGGATGTTCCGAGCAGCCAAGTCCCGATGAATGCACTAAAGAGAAAGGACAAAGGAGGCTCAGAGAGCTGCTAGGCCCTGGGATGGTGCAGGCTTACAGATTTTCATCCATGAGAAGGGCTGGGTGTTAGTGTGGAAGAGAAAGGAATGAAAACCCAGAACAGGAACATGTCTTAGAAGTGTTCAGCCTCAGAAATATGTGTTTAAAGCTAACATTTACCGAGAGACTGATGAGTTAGTCTGTTGTGAAATTTGGCTGGGTCGGCACAGTCTCCACTACACTGGAATGGTTCCTCTTATTTGGCTACCACTGACCTGTTTTGTCGTTTGGACCCTGGGATAATTCCTGAGCACATAAATCTATTCTCTCCACTGTATTCCACTGCTAGTGCTCTGGGTCACAGAGACCCTTCCTTTCCCTCATTTGGACCACTGCAATGGTCCCCTAACTGTTATCTTTCCCTCCAGTCTAGCCCCATTAACTAGTCCATGGGCCACTCTGGTCCCCCAAACCCAAACCTGAGCATGTTCCTGCTTAAATACTTTTATCTTGTGACAACTGGAAACCATAAAAGTTAAATTTCTTTGCATGATGTCGAAAGCCTTTCATAATCAATGCCAAGCTCTCTGTTCAACTACAGTTCCTCATCTGCCCCACCTCCATGCATCTTATGTTCTAGTCTCCAGATCTATGGAAAATTTCCTAATTTTCATGTCTTTATATTGCTTAAATATAACTTCCTCTAAAAAATGACAGATTCTCGAGGCTTCCTTCCATACAGTCACAAAGCACTTATTTCATACTTCTATCATAGGATCTATCCTATTTTGTTATATATAGTATCTGTTTTCCTCAATGAATTTTGAGGAAAGAGAATTTGTATCTTTCATGTCTGTACCTCCAGCTGTTAGCATAGAGAACGTAATAACCAATCAACAGATATTTGCTGAAATTTTTAATTTCAATATATAATAAACTGCACTGCTGATATTAAATATTCCAACCATTTCCTAGATTAGAGTTTGAAAAATAAGTCCCTAACAATTGCAGGTAGGCTGATGAGTAGCTGTCTATTATGTGAATGTATGTGAATTTTTCAAACAACAATTAGAAAAGGGGAGACAGACAAGTACAAGAAGATACTTTAGGGAAAAAATCTACTATGGAAACTGGTATCATGGAAATCCATCTCCTTAACTTCCCAAACAGTGGAAATGAAAGAATAGGAAGAATGAATGCTCACTTTTCTGGAAGCGAGGAACTCCATGCCTTTGGCCACTTGGAAGCTATAGCAGATCAGGTCCTCCAAGGTGAGAGGGTGCTTGTAGAGATTATTTGAGTCTAGAGAAGAGAAAAAAGGGAGGACAGAAAGGCCAGTTGTTGAAAACATCCTCACAATTCTGTAGAGATAGCAGTAGGAAGAGCTAGAGAGGAGAAAAGTCCTGCCTTCCATAAAATCTTGCAGAATGGGTGCGAAGGTTTTTGACAACAGGACTTTGGCTGGTCTTACTCTACTAAGAGCTCATATATATTTTTAAGTGGTGGTCATTTAACCTTGTAAATCAAATATAATTTATGAGAATTTTTTCAGAGGTTAGACAGCTCATACCTTGACTGTTCTGGTTACCATATTTCAAACCCCACCTCAAAAAAAATGAATACATGGTTTGTCCAGATTTCCTCACCAATTCTGGGTGCAAGAGAGAATCTGAAAGACGTCTGTTGAATGCCAAAGTTTGGGAATTTTCAGGAAATTCCCAAGATTCATGGTAACAACAGGTTTGAATTTTTGTAATCACAATGTGTGGTTACTACATAATGCACTCATTGCTAGATCACCATCCTCCAATTTATGTCAATAGATGTAAAGTTCAGAAATTTCTTATGCCCTTCTTGGTGTTCTAACAATATCAGCTTAGGATTATAAGGGCCTTTACAAAGAGTCTAGTCCAAGTTACTGATGTCATTTTACAAGTAGAAAAAAACCGAAGTCTAGAGATGTGACTTGTCCAAGGTCACACAGTACATCAGTGGTACAGCCAGTAATAAAACCCAGATCTACTAACTCTCAAGCTAGAAGATGTCTCAACATGCATTAAAGCCAGACAGATTGCACACATAATTCATTTGTGACCAAAAAGACAAGAAGAGGAACAGAGCAGAGCCAGGAGCATAGCAAACCAGAAAGATCAGTGGCAACAGTGGATGCCACAGTCAGACAGAAACCTCAGGCAGAATAAAACAAGTGTCACTCAAGGTTAGGGCCTGAACGTGTCAGTTCAAATCAGCGGTGAGTAAAATAGAAGGGATATTTGAGTTTAACTCCAACTTCTCTTAATTAGCTAAGCCAGACCTATATTGAGGTGGTACACACTGGTACAGCTATAATCGTTGCTTACTCATAAAATATTTCCATACTACTTGGTAAGTATTTACTGCTCTGAGCTCTCCAAGTGGTGCACCACTACAGTTACTCTATCCCTGCCCAAACTTTACCCTGATCCAGCAACCCCAAGATCCCGCTCCAGGGCTACATCAGGCATCTGTTCTGATTGGCCACTATCTGTGCCATATTTTGTTAAACATTTTAACACCTGTAAAATACTTCCATATTAATATCCATTTGTCAATATCTTACATATCTGTTAAATATTTTGACTATCAGTCAGTATCTGTTAAATATCTTTTATATTATCCCTGTTATGAGTGTCAGTTTTCTCTTCTGTGAAATTGAGGTAAGCATCCTTATTCATCTCACAGGGAAGTCATGAAGGTCAACGAAAGCATTCACTGGAAAGGACTCTGGAAACTGTAACGGTCTAGAACAATGTGGGGGAGTGTCATTGTAACCTACTTCTGATTGCTAATAGAAGTGCAAACTGAGCTTAGAACCAAAAGTCCTCTTAGCTAAGTATCAAGAATTGTAAAGGAAGGCACATGGTTTTCTACCTCACCTCCCTCAACCTTGGTCTGACCTTGCTGGGCAGTGGCCTCACCCTTCCAACCCAGCCCTTACCCTCAAACATCTGGTAGCCTTGAGTGTTGGCCAGAAAAGGGCCCCACATACCTATTCGGTGGGATATTGTGACCCCCAGAAAGTGGCGGTTACTTTCTTCCTCCTCATCAGATTCACTATAGCTCTTGTCCTCAATGAAGCCAGAGCTGGTGGAACTTCCTGTGCTAGCCACACTCTCCAGACGGTGCTTCATAAGCTGGGTGGGCTTGCCGTCAGAATCATAAAAGGTCTTCACATTTTTATCCATATTGATCAGGGCCTGAGAGAGTAAATAGATCCTTAGAGCTGGGAGAGACAAATTATCTATTGCATCCTACCCTATGTTTCCATTGGGAAACTGAGAACTAGAGAGGTATAAGGCAATTACTCAAACAGATAGCTTTGGAGGAAGCTAGAGTGCTCATTACCAGCCAAGGGCTCTGTTCCTTATGCCATGATGTTAATTGACTCATCCATGGTGAGAGGAAACATCCCAGATCTGGCTGTTGAAAGGGTTTTCTTGCCCTCTAAGTCAGAAGACCTTCCTAGGGTCAGGATATTTGGTAGCATGTGGTACCACAAAGGGTGTTGGAATACCATATTCCTGGGCTTAGAAATGGAGAATATACCATAAAATGGAGACACCCTCTGTTTTTTTTTATTATGGTTACTTTACTCCCTTTCCCTTTGCTACAATTAGGGAAGACGATGGACCTTTTCCCAGAGCTTCAGGTTTCAGGTGATTTCAGAGAGCTCAAGTTCATAGCTATAGAAGAATAAAGGCATGATGGGATCTCAAGCTAGCTGATTCCTCTGGACCTCATAGTGTAAACTGAGCCTGACACAAACCAAAGACATCATTTCAGCCAACTAAAGAAAAAATGCTGTGTAGCCTGTTTCAGAAAAAGCTCAGCATTGGAAGTGACTTTAGAGTTCACTGAGTTCGAATTTCTATTGGATGCATAAATGCATACCTTACCTCCCCTTTTTTTGGCCTTTTCCAATCCTCCTCCTCCTCCTCCTCCTCCTCCTCCTCCT